TATATGTGTATATGTGTGTGTGTGTGTGTGTGTGTGTGTGTGTGTGTGTGCGTGTGTGTTTATTTATATATATATATATGTGTGTGTGTGTGTGTGTGTGAGTGGGTGATTAATTTCAGAAGATAAAACAAAAACATATGTATTTTTAAAATTTGCCTGGCAAACATTTCATATTTTCTATTTTACATACAAACTTTTTTCTAGCTGTTTTTGCTTTTTTTGTAATACAATCTACATTGTGCATTTTGCATGCAAGATACACTCTTAAAACATTTAGGTTGTATGCAAACAAACATTAAAACAAATTAAGAAAACATTCATAAAACTAGTTCAGTGCTTACAGAACTCTGAGGTGCCGTAGTCCCGCGAAGTCTGCCTTTGTGATTTTAGTCAGATTGTTTGCATTCAGGTCACTATGGAAAGAAAAGAGGGGGGTAAAATGGTGAATAATGACTTACGTATTTAGCCATAATTAAGAAGTCTAAATTAGGCCATAAATTGGTAAATGATGCTATGAAACTTTTTTTTCTGGCCACTTCATTACACTGGCCATCACTACAATGGATTTCACATGTTCCACAGCATGCTAGATTGCTTAAATTGTCTGCATCATCATGCACCGTCCTTGAGTGTGTTTTATCACTGGTGAAGTATGTGCTAGACTGTGGATGAGTTCTTAGCAGGGTTCTAATTGAATTCTGAATCCTGACCAATTAAGGTTGGTGTCACGTAGCCTTTGGGACCTACGTTTCTAAATGACAGCTACTTACAGCTATCCAGCCAAACATGCATATAGTAGTATTAAACAAAGAAAATAATAGCACAGGCCAGGAGTGATTGAAATTCTAATAATTAAGTAAAAGGCAGGATTTGAACTGCGTCTTGTGGTTCAACAGCTCCTCGACAAAGCAGCGCAGGTTGTGTTTAAGATTTCATGCCAGTTTAATTAATGAATCCCACTTCAGAAAGACAGTCAGTGTAAGAGACAGATTGAGATATGCGTGAGTGGAATAGAAAAGGACACTCTGGTATTGTTCTGATGACAGCACTTCAAGAAGCATGTAACAGAATAATATCAATATATCGCTTGTGTGGCTTATTATACTACATGCACACTGTTCATAATAGTCAAATGTAATAATAGACGTGAGTAAATAACATTATGCATAGCATATTATGAAGAATATTTGGTCGTCCTGTGTGCATGCTGAATTAATTTAAAGAGATAATAACTATAATTTTATAATAATTGTGTGGCTCAAATGCACACTGTAAAGTAAAGTACTGGCCAGTGTATTCGTGTTTATGGTGCGTGTTTCGGCGCACTCACAGTCGCTCGGCGTTGCGGGGAATGTTCCGCGGCACGCTCCGCAGATTCTGCCCGTGGCAGTCCACCGCTGTCCCGCTGCAGGAGCACTGAGACGGGCACGACTGAGCCCCAGCCCCGCTCAGCAATGCACAGAGAACCACTGCTTTCAACACAAACATGACTGCTGTTTCCTCCAAGTTCTAATAAAACGCACGAAATTCCTGGTGCGAAACAGTTGCACCAAATCAGGCGCAGGAGCTTTAAATCCAAAAACGAGAGGAGTCACAACAAATGATCTTTGAGGAGAAAACACTTGTAATCTCCTCCGGCTGGAATGCTTTTCCCTTCTTCTCTACAAAGGGAAACAAATTGCAATTCAATCCAGATCAGCTCCCATCTGGGGTCTACGTAGTCTCTTCTGTACAGGGGACGCGAGTTTAGAGTCCAGATCCAGACGATTCCGCAGCAAAGCAAAGTTTAAACTAACCCCGCACGCGCATTGTCGCTCTGCGCTTTTGCTTAGTGGCTCCTAAAACACCTTATGCGCCAACAGGAGAAACGCGCTCGGAAACACGCACTTGAAAAGCCACCTGGTGATAGAGATGCGGTCATACACATCCAGCGGAGCTGATCTTCACGTGCGCTTAGAGGGTATTGATTAATTAGGTGTATTGATCTCGCGCGGCCTCATGCATGCATCCATCATGTTGTCACACAAGGACAAATCTGCTTTGTAAATCCAACTCGGTGCCGCGTAAAGTCCTGGGTGATCCTCGCTGATCTGCCTTTACCCGAATACTCAATCGGAAGTGTGTGGGTCTCTCTGGCACCTGTGTGTGTGTGTTCAGTGCAAAGGCGGCGCCTCTAGTGTGGAAATAAGCCGCGCGCACCGATAATACTCGGTAAAGGAGTCACACACAATTTCTCGATCCAACACGGGTACCGAGTCCAGCCAGGAGACAGTCAGGCCCGTCCTTCAAGCTCACTGCACCGAGACACTTCGGACTTCAAAGGATCGTTTACAACATATTATCTGACAGGTAGGAATATAGTGTTTAAAAAAAAAAAGAATCCCGGCTTTGAAATCATGAAGTTGCAGACTAAATGGGCTTTTCCTGGAGTGAGTGAATCAAATGATTCCCATGCATGCAGCAGTGCAGTGAATAAACTCCAGTGCTCTGATTCTTTCGGTTCTCACGCTCGGATTAAAGTTGTTTTAGGTGAAGTGCGGCTCTCGGACACGGGCTTCTCTCTATCTCTCTCTCTCTCGTTCTCCCAGACTAACATGGAATTGCTCTATATACACCGGGAGCGGCTCCACCCCTCGGTCCGCCCCGCTGGCCGCATGAGCTCGTGCAGTCTGTCTTCTACGGCACTACCGCTCTAGGGACATGGACAGCGATCGCGAGCGGTCTAAAGACGGGAGCCGATGCGCAAGTGACGCACGGAGAGCTAACAAGTGAGGCAGCATCTGTTTCTCTCTCGCACGCTCTCTGTTTTACTTCTGAATGAGGCAAAACCATGGTTAGCTGTTTAGTAATTGCAGGGAAAGTTTCGAAACTGTTCAAAACCAATCTAAGCTTCTTAAGGAGATTACAGATGAGTATCTACAGATCTGAACCCATACTCCAGTTAACCACAACAGGAACCAAAGCCAGAGAGAGGTGGGGAGTTTTGCCTGGGAGACAGAAGCAAAAGAAAGTAGCAGGAGTGACCTCAATCACCTTCTCAGTATGCACCTGCGGGGTAGGGAGAGGTCAAAGGTCAACTGCAGCTCCTGTGAAGCTGAAACTCACAATTGTACACACCAACACTAATCTAAAAATATATGTTTTCGACAACTCATTTGTTTAATTATTCATTCATTCTCATGTTAGAGTGGTAGCTCGAGTAAGACTTTAATTTGAGGTATTAGGGTATATAGATGAGATGGGCCGGTAAGCTGAGTAAGGTGCTGAGATATAATAAGAAATGTGAGATATTGAGGTAGATTGGTAGGTCAGGGTCATGGGTCACTGGTCATCCCTTAAATGCCCAGGACAAAATGATTATGGATGAATCCACTCCTCCAGACCCAGTGAGTACACTCTAAAAAATGCTGGGTTGTTTCAACCCAACTTTGGGTCAAATATGGACTAACCCAACTTTTGGGTTAAAAATTTAATGTAAAAATGTAACCCAACGGTTGGGTTAGTCCATATTTGACGATTAATTAGGTGTATTGATCTCGCGCGCCCTCATGCATGCATCCATCATGTTGTCACACAAGGACAAATCTGCTTTGTAAATCCAACTCGGTGCCGCGTAAAGTCCTGGGTGATCCTCGCTGATCTGCCTTTACCCGAATACTCAATCGGAAGTGTGTGGGTCTCTCTGGCACCTGTGTGTGTGTGTTCAGTGCAAAGGCGGCGCCTCTAGTGTGGAAATAAGCCGCGCGCACCGATAATACTCGGTAAAGGAGTCACACACAATTTCTCGATCCAACACGGGTACCGAGTCCAGCCAGGAGACAGTCAGGCCCGTCCTTCAAGCTCACTGCACCGAGACACTTCGGACTTCAAAGGATCGTTTACAACATATTATCTGACAGGTAGGAATATAGTGTTTAAAAAAAAAAAGAATCCCGGCTTTGAAATCATGAAGTTGCAGACTAAATGGGCTTTTCCTGGAGTGAGTGAATCAAATGATTCCCATGCATGCAGCAGTGCAGTGAATAAACTCCAGTGCTCTGATTCTTTCGGTTCTCACGCTCGGATTAAAGTTGTTTTAGGTGAAGTGCGGCTCTCGGACACGGGCTTCTCTCTATCTCTCTCTCTCTCGTTCTCCCAGACTAACATGGAATTGCTCTATATACACCGGGAGCGGCTCCACCCCTCGGTCCGCCCCGCTGGCCGCATGAGCTCGTGCAGTCTGTCTTCTACGGCACTACCGCTCTAGGGACATGGACAGCGATCGCGAGCGGTCTAAAGACGGGAGCCGATGCGCAAGTGACGCACGGAGAGCTAACAAGTGAGGCAGCATCTGTTTCTCTCTCGCACGCTCTCTGTTTTACTTCTGAATGAGGCAAAACCATGGTTAGCTGTTTAGTAATTGCAGGGAAAGTTTCGAAACTGTTCAAAACCAATCTAAGCTTCTTAAGGAGATTACAGATGAGTATCTACAGATCTGAACCCATACTCCAGTTAACCACAACAGGAACCAAAGCCAGAGAGAGGTGGGGAGTTTTGCCTGGGAGACAGAAGCAAAAGAAAGTAGCAGGAGTGACCTCAATCACCTTCTCAGTATGCACCTGCGGGGTAGGGAGAGGTCAAAGGTCAACTGCAGCTCCTGTGAAGCTGAAACTCACAATTGTACACACCAACACTAATCTAAAAATATATGTTTTCGACAACTCATTTGTTTAATTATTCATTCATTCTCATGTTAGAGTGGTAGCTCGAGTAAGACTTTAATTTGAGGTATTAGGGTATATAGATGAGATGGGCCGGTAAGCTGAGTAAGGTGCTGAGATATAATAAGAAATGTGAGATATTGAGGTAGATTGGTAGGTTGAGTCAGGGTCATGGGTCACTGGCCATCCCTTAAATGCCCAGGACAAAATGATTATGGATGAATCCACTCCTCCAGACCCAGTGAGTACACTCTAAAAAATGCTGGGTTGTTTCAACCCAACTTTGGGTCAAATATGGACTAACCCAACTTTTGGGTTAAAAATGTAATGTAAAAATGTAACCCAACGGTTGGGTTAGTCCATATTTGACCCAAAGTTGGGTTGAAACAACCCAGCATTTTTTAGAGTGTAGGCTATGGGCCTCACAGAGCCCGGGCTCTTTGTCCAAGCTGATGTAAATTTAGTAATGTGAGGTACTGAGGTACACAGATGGGTAGCTTAACCCTATAAAGCCTACTGTTTCATATTTGGTACACAAACTTATAAGGCCTCTATATTATCAACATGATCCAAACTTTTCTGAAAAACCTGTTGCACACATGCCTTTTGTCGTATAATTGATAGTATACATTAGCAAGGAAAAGGCCTTTTAGTAAAATTTAAAAAATGTGGTACAAGTGCCTTTTTGCTGTGAAAATTTTACAGATTTTTATAAAGCAAACATATACATAACTTGTATATTGTTAATGATATTTCAAGATGAACACTTAGGGGACTGAAGCAACTTACATAGGTTTACTTAATTATCCATACATCGTTTAAAAAAATCATGTTAAAATGTATCAATCATGATACAACAGGCTTTTGAGGAATGTTTATTTGTAGATCATCATAATGCATTGCCTCCTCCAATTAAAACTACAGAGCTATGATCATAAAATTAAGCATTAAAATATCATCTTACTAAAACATATTATTGGTAAATATCAGTCCGCTTGGTTTATTTTTTTATTTTTTCACTGTCAGTGCATTAGCACATCATTGACCCTTTCAACAAATGATAAATGACTGTCTTTATGAGTAAGTCATTGAATCAATCACTCATCCAATTAGTTCATTTACATTTCTTTTGTGTGTGTGTGTGTGTGTATGTGTGTGGGGATCAAAAATAGACAAATTAATTGGAAATATCATGTTTTAACTGTAAGTTTTTAATAATTACTTACTCATCACACTCTCAGTCGTATAGTGTGTGTGAATCTGTGCCTGGAATTGACTGCACTAACTAGTAGGTACACTATAGCAAAATGGTTATCTAAGAAGGTCAGAAGTTACATGTGATTCTGGAGCTACAATTGAAACAGTATAAACATGACACAAATACGTGCTATATTCTGTAGGTCAGATGAAATATTACAAAGCAGTGCGAGGGATGTTAAGTAATGTAGGGTAATGAAGTCAGCTGATGGGTAGAGTAAGCTTACAAATGTATATTTAGTAAAAACGAGGTTCTGTGATATTTTAGCTCTGTTAAATACAATGACAGGTATGATGACAGGTGACAACTGATAGCTCAGATCTGTTCTAATTACCACTGAACACCAGAAATGTGGTAGTGAGTGTTTCTGTGTGTGCTAGAGAGATGAAAAAGGATATGTAAGCAACTAAGAAACTGAGAGTGAGTTTACAACCTGTGTTTGTTGTAATTTACAGTTGTTTAGACTGCAGTAAACACATTTCCAGATGGACGTTACTCTGCACACTGTCCTTCTCTGTGAGTGTGTGTGTGTGTGTGTGTGTGTGGAGACTACAAACCAGACCTCATGGTAAAGTACTAAACGTTCCTTACACACATCTGCCAGTACCCCGAGTCTTAGCTGAATGATGAGCCTATTGCAGAAGTTAAAATTAATTTGGTCTTAAATGGCACTTGTCATGGTTTTAGGATGATTAATATAAATACATCTGTAGTTTGTACTGTGTCCTACTACAGGACGTCTGTTCATAATTAGAAAGCATGAAAACATCAGTAAAAGGAATTCAGATGATAACTGAAGCAAATCCTTTTTAAATTATGCTCCAGCTAATGTGTTATAACAGCGTCAGATTTATGATTAATGACAAATGAAACAGTAAGACAAAGTAAAGAAAAAGGAAAAATCTTTTAGAATGTAGTTTAAAATGCATGCCACATTCTTAAAAATGTAAAAGTTAAGAAACCTCTGCAGCCCTCTTAAATAATTAAAGCTGAGACCAAGTGTTAATGAATCAAACTTATTTTAAAGTCTGACCTTGACAGTAAGTCATGATGGTTTTCAGGGGTTCTCTCTGTGATATCATTTACTGTTTTTCCTGTTTTACTTGTTTAGTTGCATCATGTCATTGACCCTTTAACAATTGATTTGATCTTTAGAGGTTTTCAGAGAAATTATTGTTAGTGTAAAATGTAGCTGCATTTGTCACTTTATATTTGGAAGTCAATGATTTGTAAATGTTTGTTTGTTTTTGTTTATTTATTGTTGCATGTTTTATGTTTGTCTTAATTTGTGTAGGTTTTGGGTATGTGTGTGCATGTTGACAAGATAGACACTCCTGTAAAATATTTTTTTTTAAACTAAGTGAGGCTCTTTCCTGATTAAATAACGTTTCAATAAAATACATAAAAATTCTGGGTAAGGCTCGTGCCTGCAAAAAACTAAAATGCATCTAAAAATGTTGTCACAGACATTGTGAATCAAAACAAGGGCAATTTCCTTCAAGACAGGGTTTTTTAAATATCCAAGTCCCCATTATAGTGACATCTGGTTTAAAACCAAACACACACACACACACACACACACACACACGTTTATAATTGACAGTCAGTCAAAAATGCATCCAGGAACAAATGAATACAAATGAAACTCATGGC